GGAGAGCACTGCCACTACGCCACGGGGACCCTCGTGGTCATTGCGGGCAACTGGGCTTATCAACTGGCACTGTGTCTCCTTGCTTTAGCATGCAAACTTTGAACACCCACAACTTTTTTGGTAGATTCATTTAGCAGTTTTAATTTCCATATTTGTTAATAGCTTTCGAAGCCCTATCGATTTACCTAGGTCTCTACTCAAAGTTCCATGGGAAGTTGAAACCCTTCCCTGGTAAGCCCATTCAGAGTCGTATGGCGTTTTTGCATGTGTATGTGGCCTATACAATGGGCTGCGGTGGCCTGACGATAAACAAGTTAGCGCTTTTATATTCCCGTACGAGTTCGGTATAAACCGAGCCTTGAAGGTTGGAAGGCTTGATTGGCATTCCACACTTTCCAGTGCTACCATTGCTGATGATTCCTGCAGTATCTTTTCCTAGCTCCCTGTCAATAGCTTTTTTGTGCTCTCAAGGTTATCTATTGCTGAATATAACCGCTCTACCGCTTCCTTGTTAACCAATATGCTGACGATTTGTCCCACAAAGCAGAAGGGTAATATCTTCCGTCCCGTTGCTTTCCGTTCTATCAATCTCCAATCTAGTTTGTGGAATGCGCCTCGTTTTCGACTTCCATTCAGTATTGTACTGTTGTTTTGAATGCGTATGTGGCCTATATGTACAATGAGTTGCGGTGGCCGGCTGGTAAACAGATTAGTGCTTTTACACGTCCAGATAAGCTGCTATCACTTAATTCTACTCCGTAGGGATAGGAGACTTTTTCTGATCGGGCATCCATCCGGTGTCGATCTCCGGACGCGAGCGCGAGATAATGTGTCGCCATGTGCGATTACACCACCTTCGTCCCAATGAAGTGAGTAGTTATGAGAATCATTGAGTTGTTCGTTCAGCAATGAATATTCGCCTTCATTGCAATGTGCTGTATGTGCCGTTCATTAGCTACGATCGAATACCAACCAACTGCGATTATTCTGAAGCTCTCCTCTTCAACAATGTGGAATCTTGTAGCCAAAGAAACATTTGGCCATCGTTCAACCCTCATTTACATGCTTATTTATGTTGCCGTCTAAATGATCTGCATCTATGGGTTACCACATTATTCATTCGGGCGGAAGCGACAGGTGACCTTAGCGGCCCTCAAATCTGTTAGTTTTTAAAACTCGAGCATTGCAAAAACTAGTTTATAAAAGATTTTTAACGCATCTATTACACTTTATGAAGTAATACTCATTCACCGGACGTTTTTTTATTGTTTTGATCAGTTACAGACTGAGGGCAGTTCTTCATTCGGTGTTGCGCCTGAGAGTGTTTCAGGAACTATTTCCTCTGACATTACTACAACTTTTCTTCCATATTGTTTCCATACTACAAGCTCCCTTCCACATTGTGTCTAGCGCCTACTCGTTATTAGATTGTCACACCTTCATAATTCTTTTGTTTCATCTGAATGCATAAGTCAATAGAACATCTAAAAATTCAACCCGTCATTCATTTGTTTTCTACCAAGTTTTCAGACACCACCTCTCCCTCCCTGCATCGCTTCCGCATGCCTATCCTCCCTTAGATAATCATTCATTGAGATCACCATCCCATCAGTGGAAACAACCATAATCTCGTCCAGTTGATACTCGCCCCGTACAAATGAGGCAGACGAAGTAGCGGCCTTTGAATACGGTCAGTGATTTCCACAGATGATCTCAGACAGGTGGAATCGCTTTCTGAAGGAAGGTTTGACCTCTTTACATGGATGCCTGCATAGGACGATCACCCAAGCATGAAAGGAAATGGAAAAGGAAGAATGAAATCTAAAAGCTCGGAGTTGGAGTGGAAGTTGACACTCGTCATGTATTAAACCTTGAGACTTGGTAGAGAGTTAAAGAAAGAGACAGAGATGGAAAAATGCTCATCTGAGCGTTCTGTACGAGAAATCTCACCGACCTTATTCTCGATGTTAGGGTTATAGTCTCCGACTTTTTCCTTGTTAAGAATGATTACTGGATCTTTCACTGGGAGCATTCTCGATACGTTGTCCTCAAAGGATTCCTTGGCCAAGGCATGACCCAGCAATACCTGAAAGCAAAAAGAAGTTCTTCGGAGTTTTAGACGCTCAGGCTGCGAATTTATGCTTCCTTCACCATCGGGCATCTGTGGAATACAAGTATTCTTCAAAACGAAAGCTTATTTCCTAAAGGCACAGTTCACGATAATTTTGAGGTACTCGTTTTTATTCGAAAAGAGGAAGTATAGATTGGGAATAGCTCAGCGGTAGTGAAGAAAACGAGAAAATTCTCCGATTCCGAGAAAAACATGGCTCCTCAAAAATAAGGAAGATAGAGGTTGGACGAGATTGCTATGACGGAAATAACATGGAAGAGGTATTCGGACGGGATTTCAGTTACAGCAACTGCGCACAAGGCACAACAAACTGTCGCTATGGGTCATGACAAGTTGCTTGAACTTCCTACACGGATCCTTGTGATCGGTGCAGCCTCTACGATGCCGGTGAAACTTGTCCGATGATATACACGGTGCAAACTTTGAGCCTCATAACTCCCTAACCAGACCTTCTCCGACCTGATAGTGCCAAATATGGTATACGCGGGGGCCTCAAATTCATCCTGTGGGGGGATCTCAGAGACCGCTTTTATCGTGAACTGTGCCTACAACGTTACTACAACCAAGCTACATCGACGGAAGCGATGTTGCCAAGATCCTGCGCGAAAGGCATCAGTTTGAAAATGCATGGGAAATACCTTTTTTAATGGAGACTCGCCTACAAAGTGATGCTTCATTATTTATATATATTTATTTCATCATCTATTTTATATTTATTTACTTAATTCCAATAATAACTTAAAATGCGCTTTGCTACAAAATGGTATGGTTTGGGCCAAAAAAAGCTATGGTTGTAGTTGAATGGCAGGTCTGCGAAATGGGAGGTCGAGTCAATGAGCAATACCCGAGCCGGCAACTAATTCAGCCTTTACTCTCGACAGCAAGCCCAAAGCCATGACGATTCTTTTCTGAATCAGAATGTTTGTGATCTTTTCTATCTTTCCTCAGCTCTACCGTTTTTTATTGCTTCGTTTTGAGAAACCACGTGCGCGCATACAACTCCTTGTCGCGAAAGCCAATTAGGCAGTTTTCAAATTCCTGAATGGAAATCAATTTTAAAAAGTCTAGGGATTTTTGGAAAGCCCAATAAAGAAATGTTTAGAGAATGCTGTGTGAACAGTCTGAGGCTGGGTGATTACTGACCATGCAAAATAGAGATTGAGTTCGATGCCGCTTTGTCTAATTTTCCTTGACTCTACCTATCAAACCACGACTGTTGATGCAGGTAAACACTCCGTTTGGGTTGCGAGCGGATATCTTTCAAAATAACTTGAAAATATCAGAGCTTTATATGAGCGTTTCAGTTGAAAGAAAACGACATTTTTCATGTAACTACCTCACATTAAATTATACCGGAGTTGGCTTTTTAAAGGAACCTCTGATCGTGGCCCGTCCTCGTCACAATTTCTCGAAAAATGGACTTCTTCAGGATTGCTATAGGTTTGTTAGTCCTTTGTCTATAGTAACGAATTAATTTTATTAGTTATGTTCCCAATTGACATCAAAACGAAACTAGCCATCTCGCCCACTTTAGATTTGTTCGTAGCAAGGAATTAGCAGAGAAGACATCTAGATACCTTTCAAGGATATTCCAGGTGAACAACACTGAAAGGCCTAACTGATTCATTGCCATCTTCAAACACTGACTCAGAGAAGATGCGCTCCTGTCTATTTTCTGCTCTCAAAATTTTCCTAGATTATATAGGTTTCTGTTCCGTTGCTTACCTGATACTGTCCCTCCATTGTTTTCACGAAACGAGTGAATGTGTGTGTTGACATTGGCTGAAACAAAAACTGTGATTAAAGGTGATATGATTTCCTACAAGTCTTGCTATCTCTTGTAGTGCTGTAGTTCTGTTGGCGACAGCTTGCGATTATTGGAACAGCACAGCTAAATACCCATATTTTCGAACCTGTCTACGGCTATCTTTTAGCTTAGGACATCAATACTGCAGAACAAAAATGGCGGGCAGAAGTAAAGGAATTAAAATGGAAAGTCATGCTTTTGTACAGGGGTGTTCCAGCAATGAAATCCCTTTCTTACGGTGGGTTGTGAGAAAGTTCCGCCACGATTTTTGAAAGCTTCAGTCTTTTCGATCATCTATGCTATCTGATGGGTCTTCCATTGTTGTAACATGCTCTCGAAGCCTCTCTGCAAGAGGTATGTGAGGGCAAGAGTTTTTCCTCCATCTAGACAAGATGTTACCTTCAAAAGAACAACTTTCAGTCAGTTTCAGTCAATACTAAAAATAACGTCGATCCACTCCACCTCTGACCGTTCAAAAAACATCAACGGCGCAGTGGGCAAAAGTACGCTTGTCTTCAAGCACGCTGTTTGAAGACAAACTTGAATGAACCTGACGTTCTTCCACCATAGAAGACTTCACCGTTGTCGAGGAGAGCGCAAGGGCAATACGGCAGACTGCGCGCTCACGGAAGCATTGGGTTTCGACCGTATGAAGGTCATCAGACTTCTTCAAGCTTGTCGCTACCAAAGAACGCTGACCCGATGTAGACTTCGTACCTAGTCCGACGGTGTTTTCTACATGAGGATACCTCTCGTCACCCACTTTTCTTCTAGAAGGCCCTTCGGAAAAAGGCGCATCTTCCAAATATGCTCGTAGCATAACTCTTTCTGATATCACTTACTCCTCCTCAAGTTTTCTTTTGACCTGAATATTTCCCCATATCCGGAAATATACATGTAGAGCAGACGACTGCAAGAGCTTGGTTTGGGAGGAAGGAGACTGACGCTGACTCGTCCAAGAAATTTGCCGCTTTGGAGATTAATAGGAACGATTAAATTCCCGAGTAGCAGTGAACTGCATGCAAATGGCAAAAAAATTTAAAGGTGCGAATAATGTGACAAAGATTTCTAGCCAACCTGGTGTACTTACTGGTGCATTATTGCCCTCGTTTATACCATTTGGAAGCAGTGGTTATTTTTTGATTGCAATACAGCAACACTCGGAGACAGTGCTCTTCTTCGACATGGATTGCTTCTCAAAAATGCATTTAAATGCACAGTTCATGATAAAAATGGTTCCTGAGATTCCCCTACAGGATGAATTTCAAGGCCCCTGCGTATACCATATCTGGCACTGTCAGGTCGGAAAATGGCCTAGTTAAGGAGTCGTGATGGATCAACGATTGGCCCGTGTGTATCCTTGGACGAGCTTCACCGGCATTGTAGAGGCACAATGCATCGTTCACAAGGGAACCCATGTAAGAAGATCAAACAACTTGTCATGATCCATAGCGACAGTGAAAGACAGTTCTGTACAGTTCTGGCTTGACGTAGTCAGCTCTCTGTGCAATTGAAATCTCGTCCGAACACCCATTCCATGCTATTTGGGTCATGGCAATCTCGTCCAGGCTCTATTTTCCCTGCTTTTAAAATCTATATTTTCTCGAAATTGGTGAATTCCCTCGCTTTCCTCACTACCGATGAACTATCCTAATCCATACTTACGCTTTTCGAATGCAAACGGGTACCTTAAAATTATCGTGAAGTGTGCCTTTAACAATGCCCCATAGATAACATTCTATCGGTTATGTAGAATGCCTTTCCATTCAGTTTTAGATTGGTGGCCTCTACATCTCATTGCTGGCTCAGTGAAATAATTTGTTATTCCTTGACATATTTCTTAATGAATTTATAACCAATTCATCTAATCCACCTTGCACAATACATATTCCAGTCTGGCATGAAGAAATATTTCCAAGAAAAGTGCGTCTAGACTGGTAGTCCTTTAGTACAATTGTCTCGCTGAATGAGGTTACGGTCGGTCTATAGCTTTTTATAGAGCTTAACTCGGAATCATTAACCCAGTCAAGATAGAAAAAAAAGGAAAACAAAATTCTCAGAAGCAAATTTAAGCAAAAGCTAATATTCAAACTAGCAGCGCAACGTAGCAGATGTTTTGACTTGATGTTTTGTTATCTGCTGATTTAAGTGTTTCCGCCGCGATGCGATGCAATGCGAAGGTTTCACAAGGATAGCGATTTATAGACAAAACTTCAGTTTCGGACGGACGGAAGAAGATAAGCCATTAAGGAGGCGAGGTCAAGCGGGGTCTAATGTAAGGGATCGAGCACGGTGCCCAGAAAGCACAAGTACGTGTTCGAAACTCGTCCGAGACTGGTTTTTTATCCATAAATCGTATTCTCTCAAGAGTGAAAAGGTGTTTTTGCACAGAAGCCTACCGATGTCTCAGTATGCGCTTTGAGGTCTATTGTGAACTTTTTGTGTGTGGCATTCGAAGAATGTAAATAGCATTAGATTGTCCTCCGATGAAGACCTTTCTTTTCAAATGATAGATTTTCTTTTTGAACTCTGTTTCAGACTCGCTTGAGGGCCTTTACATGCCTATCAACTTCCCCAAACTTCATTGTAAATATAAAAAACGCAACTAAGCCTTATTGTACCTGCCAATCGCTACCCATTATCTACTCATTTAAATATTGAGCCGTAATTATATTTATGTCGCGAATTCAAATCAAGGATGAGGAGGTTTTCGGGGATTTATCTATAGTCAGCGCGAAGGTGGCGTAGTTGCAAGTGGCGCAGTATGTCACACGGGTTCGATTCCCGGACCGATATCCACCTAGGCCAACCATGCCTTCCATCCCCCGGAGTTGGTTCATGAGTACCAGACTTGTCTGGGAGGTTAAAGGCACTAAACTGTACATCTGCTGGCCACGGCAAGTCATTGCATAGGCCTCATACGCACTCAATACACCACTACGATTCTGAATGGAAGTCGAATGCGTGGGCGCATCCCTCGACGGGCTAGATTAGCCCCTAAGTCTTCATCCTTTATTTATTCTCCCAAAAAAGACTTCTTCGTTGGTTTGAGTTCACGTCTTATTGAAATACCGTCATAATGCGCCCCCGCACTCGACTTCCATTCAGAAACGTAGTGACGCAATGAGAGCGTATGTGGCCTATACAATGACTTGCGGTGGCCAGCCGATGTACAAGTCAGTGCTTTTATCCTCCCAGACAAGTCTGG